TTTGCCACTAAGAACGGATGGTCCTGAAATGATGGGGTTATTCATGTATCTATTTTCATCTATATCCTGTATGATTTCAAGACCTCGTTCTGACTTCAGAAGACAGAAAACTTTCTATAGATAATTTTTTACACAAGAACGTATTCTTTCTTTTTTTTTCTTCTTAAGGCATTCAGGATGCATCAAGTACTCCAGGACGTCTTACTAAAGCGGGCAACTGAAACATGCAAAAAAAAGATGAATAAGCCTATCTAAAATGAACAAATAGGGTAGAAAGGATGTCAGGTTTACTTCTTGACATGGGCAAAAAAAGACTGAACTGTTTGTTAGTTATAGGATTTTTAATTTTCGAATATGTGTGTGTATGGGCACAGCAAATGAACAATTACCGTTGTTACCAAAATAAGCTCTTTCAAGAAGATATTTTAGTTCATCATAGGATGAAATACGAGACTAGAGTTCTGACTATTTTTGCACGATATACAGAACAAAGCTCTTGATTTTGATTCAATTGAGATGCAGACTCTATACCTGAATTTCATAAAGTACAACACATTAAACAGAGGAGCAATTAGGTATAGAGAAGAAGTAAAAATAAATAAGTTAGGAGGGAAAGCTGAAGGTTTGTTTGCATAAAATAACTGAAATTTCGATATTTCACTATGATCTCAATGGAGAAGAGAGAGGCGAGCATTATATTGTAGGTTTGTAGCAAACAAAGCTGCTTTATTCTATTGGCTCAAAACCGCCGTTATTAGTTATTCGAGAGTATGATAGTGCCTATAATGGCCGAAGAAACATTCTAGATAGGGCGGTTTTCTCTCTTCATTCCTTTTGTAGAGATATCTTGAGTGTGTACCAAGATGCCTCCACAGGACGAAGACTCTTGAAATATCATATTACAAGACACCACAAGATCTCGGCTAAAAAACCAACAACCAATATAAGAATCTTCTAAGATTTCACAAGATTTTTCTTGCTATAAGATTCCGTAAGATCTTGTATGATCGTGGAAAGAAGTAACAAGATCTTGAAATATTTCATAAAATCATATATGGTTATGTCTCTGGTTCTATCCTGCAGATCCCCTCTAGACCCTCTTTGAAAAACAGTCTGTTTTTTCTCATAATATTTTCGGGCATAGGAAGGACTCTGACGTCTTCAGGAACGTGTCTAACCACGTTTCTTCAAGCGATGGGCTTTATTTGTACCCAACTGATGTGTGAAGTTCAAGAAAGAAAACTATTTTAAGTTTTTTCATAAGAACTATGTTAACATACCGTAGCAAAATTTCTGTGGTAAGAAGGAATGAAGGACTTCTTGTAAGATCTTATAAGATCTTGTAACAAGAAATCGTATGATCTTGTGATAAGAACTGAAAATGAGTAAACGCTCTTATTGACAAGATCTTACAAGATCATATGATTTCTTGTTACAAGATCTTATAAGATCTTACAAGAAGAAGTTAAAAGATTCCGCAAGATCATACATGATCTTTAGATAAGATCTTACAAGGTCTTGCCAAAAAGATCGTGTAGCAAGATTGCATAAGAAATCATCAAATTTTGTAAGACATCTTTCACCTGGGTTGGTGTTCAACAAGAGTATCGATACATTTCGATGCCTTAAATGTAACTACATCATTTATCCGTGGCTTATGGACCACCAAGCGCCTAAGGCGTAGCCAGTGTCTCACGCCTTTTTGGTGTGTTAATGATGTGCATCGAAAGCACCTAAACTATTTTTTTTAAGAAACCAGCAACTTAGAAGTGTTTTGTTAACACATCAAGATGACCAACAGTTAAAATGATGAGAAACTGCACTTGACGCGTCTTCATGACGTACTGTGGACGCATTTTGAAGCCATCATTGAGACACTGTTTTTTTTGACAGGTACAGCATATCACGTATGTACATAAATCGGCCATCTATACATGGCATGAGTATACAGTATAGAAATAAAGTGATAGTCTGCTAGATAGAGAGAAAATGGAATACCTATTCATACGATGATCACTTAACGCTAGGTATGTTTTACACGAATAAAGAAGTTGTTGTTGTTGTTGTCAGTATGATGAGGCTGTTTGCAATTGTTCGCTCCAGTCGACATCCTTAATCAAAGTAAAAGCTCGTCTATACGCTCTACAATGTAACCAGTTTTACATCAAAACTTGTCTACTACAAACTTCTGTCTACACAACTTGTTGTATGAGTGTGTTTGTAAGACTTCTACAAATTGAATAAGATGTAATATATGTATCGAATATGTATCTTTCACGCAAAATGATCTATACAGTATCAAATTACGTATCCACTTTTTTATACTAGCGTCTGAGTAATTATTAAAAAATCTCTAAACTACTCTTTTTGTATTGAACTATCGTAATAATTGTTTTTTCTCTCTGCTTTTATATTTCATTTCCTTTTCTTTTTTCCTACTTTTTCGAACATGATTACTAAAGAAACAGCCCTAAGCTGAACCTTGACACTATTCTCTTTCTTGTCCTCTAACACTACTTGAAAATTACAGTTAGATAACGACTATGTTCAATATTCGCTCTCGCAGAAAGAAAACACCAAACGGAAGGAAAATAATAAATTAAGTGTTTATGGTTTTTCAAGATTAAGTGTTATAGGTTAGTGCCGGAAAAAGAGGAGTAATCAGAACGTTCAACAAAACAAATAGTGAGAGAAAGAAAATGGAAATGATCAAATGACATTTTAAAAATGTTGTGAAAATTGATATACAATAAAAGTGCCATTAGGGTGTGACGTGCAAGGAATGATTAGTCTGTTTCAATACTCATTGTATTTTTGAATTTTTCAACGTATAATGGTATGTACAAAATTTCTAGTCTTCATAGTGAGTGTATTGCTCAGCATAATGCCCTTGCGATGACTGAGAATCTACGCAATTCTCCCAGATATATCCGGTACTGCCAGGTGCATGCTGTGTATTATAGATAAGTGTCGATTTCTCAGCTTTTATTTTCACATGAATACTGACTGGAAAAGCAGCGCGCAAAACCTGTCTATGCATCGCTACTAATTAATAAAAGTCAGTACTCCATAACGACGTTCGTCGGCTCTAAACTTGTTTATTAAATAGTACAAATAACTTCTCACAGCCGCTATTTAATAAAGGTTCAGTAGGAGACATCACAAACGTCGATTATTAAGCATACCCAATGTCTCTTACATCGCTTTTCTCTCCGCATGTTTTCACCGCAAAATTTTGGGAAAGATGAAAAAAGTGGGATGATCCATTACATGCTTGATTCGTAATCTCCTTTGAGGATAAACTGTTTCGATTTGATCGGATTTTTAGAATGAATGATTCTGTGAATAGTCTTTGACTGAGGAAAACACGTCGTGCTGGATATTTGCATAAATTTGCAGAGCGAATCAATTATTGTGGATACACCACTTTTTATATTTGGATAATCAAGCGCAAAAAGTAAAAAATTTGAGATAAACTGTGTGACATGGGAAACTACTTGGTTCTTTCAGTCTGAATCTCAAACACTGACGACGAAAGTTCCAATCTACTCGATGATACACAGGTTTTTATGCTGATCATGAGTATGATGTTCGACCGTTTTCATAGAGCTTTTCAAAACCTCTGTTCAAATCCAAAATCTCCAAAAACTCGGCGCGAACTTTCATCTATATAAACTCTGTTCATGTCGTATTGTAGAGCATTACAAGTTACTTACGTGTACAAGCTTATTTTTTTAAACGTTTTTCTGAAACAAATGGCCATCTAAAAATAACATCGAAGCGACGTTTTCTAGTAGTATGATTGATTTATTCCAATTCTTAAAGTTAAGTGAACGAAGAAAGAACATGTGAACTAACCGATGGTAAAGCATCTTGATGTTTATCGTTTTACAATCAGACGTTTCACGTTCTCGTAGATTACGTACATGAGGACACATGCGTCGAGTTATTTGATGCCAACCTTTTTGTCGCGCACTTATTTATTATTTACGCATGTACTTATACAATGAGATTTCTTTATTAAGAAAGTATAGCAACTAAGCGTTGAACCCATTTTGGGACATTGTAGCTCCGTTTTGCTATAAATGCTTTATTATCTCTTTTACACAAAATTGTATCGTAGGAAAGTCTTTTAATACTATAATAACGGCTATGTGCTGGCAATGGTCGCCATCTTGCACTGTACGGTGTATTTATGTCGTATATTTTACTATAATTGGTAAATGACGGCTGTTCATAATCAAGTGAATTTAATAATCTGTCATAATATTCATCATAATTTGTCCTGGTAACACGACGTTCAACAGCAGAAGGTCGTTTCCATTCCAGAATAGTTGGTTTAGCATATAATAGTTGACGATTTTTTGGATACCATTGATGTATCGGGGTATATGACCGAGCATAAACTGGAAGTATGGATGGATGTGAGGTTGGTTTTGATGATGTTGGTAATTCTAAAAAAAAGTAAAAAGAAATGGTATAATTTTAAACATCATCATTTTTCAACGGACACACTTGACAGCAAGACCCGTGGTTTTGTATGTATATATCTTGAGTGACTATCATCTAGAGTTGTATCAGACGATGATTCAGCAATTCCTGAATCTGTTTCATAATCCAAATTTAGTATTGTACTGTTGTGATGATCCGGTGACGATTCATAGTCCAATACTGA